ATTATGCTTAAATGGGTCGAACACAGCAAGAGCGAGCGAAAAGTAGCATTTGAGGAACTGTTTCGTCACGTTAGACTGAGTTTTCTGTCGCGTGACTGTTTGGAGGATGTCGTGACAAACGAACTGGTGCGTGAGAATTTGGCTTGCGTGAAGCTGGTCATGGATGCTACTGTAAAGATGGCTACTTTTGCGAGTGAAGAAGATCTCCCACGGTCACCAAGGAAAGGTCTGGAAACGCGTGTTATTTTAGCATGTGGTGGCAAGTTCACTTTTTGTTATCTCCCTGAAGAAGACCAGTGGAAGCGGCTGCCAGATGGGTCAACCGAGAGAAACCAGAAAACACAAATGCTAACATTTCGTGATCAGCTGTACACATTTAAGGAGTTCAGCAAGGCAGAGAAGTATGATTGCGTGTTTAATGGCTGGTCAAAGTCGGATCTGATAGACGTATCAGCAGATAGCGCCATTGTGACTGTTGTCAAAGGGGATATGTACGCCATTGAAGTTAACAAGCCTGTTGGAAAGTCTACTATCAAGAGATATGATGTGGAGCGTTGCACATGGCAAACAGTTGTGGAATCTTCCCAAGGTTGTAGGAACGGTTCCTGTGTTATCGCAGGTGGCAGCTACCTGTATGTTTTGGGTGGATCGGCCCCTGGCAATGCTGGTTATGTCTCCAAAGCTGAGAGATTCAGCACTGGGGTAAACCAATGGGAGGAGATCGCGGACATGCGGCAAGGAAGATTTGGTGCCTTCGGCGAGGCTACTGAAGGAAAGATTTTTGTTGCTGGAGGCTTGAACCAGGATGGGAAAGTGTCAAAAAGATGCGAGATGTACAACGTATCCACAAACGAATGGCAGTACATCGGAAGCTTGAACCATTTTCGTGTTTATGGTAGCATGGTGTGCCTGAAGGGAACACTGTACGTATTGGGTGGCACGAAAAACGCCAGAGATAGTTTGTTGGCAGTCGAAAGCTACGACTTGGCAGAAGACGAGTGGATTAAGAAGACAACCATACCAGTGGAAAGATTCTCTAAAGATAATAAGGACACATTCACTTCCTGTGTAGTTAAGCTCTCCAAAGGAGTAATTGACAAGGCTAACACTGTACTTGGCTTTGGCTTTGTCCCTTTCGGTACTTGGCAGTCCCAAACAGCTGGGGGCCTTTTTGGAAGTACGCAGTCCCAAACAGGATTTAGCACTGGGGGTCTTTTTGGTGCTCGGCAGTCCCCCTTTTCGTTCTCTTCATCCAATTAAAGTTCGCGATTGTATTTGAGTAGGCAGAGGATGCGTAAGTTAAGTTTGCTATGACATGAAATTCCTTTCACTTGATGTCTCGGGGAACTCTAAATTTCAGTTGCTTTGGCGAGTCAGATCTCCACAGTATTTACTCTATAGATTAGAGAGAAAATAGGCAAGGGCCAATTTTAATTCCAGCCATACAGAGGGGCAATCATCACGTCTCGGTGTTAAGATGCCCCATGGGTAATTTTACAACTGTTATCGAAAGGGAAAACGTAATCTAACATGTAGATTTTTAATAATACCACACCGTCACTGTCCTTAAAATACAATCGTGTTAAGTAGAACACAGATTAACACTTTAACCCCTAAGAGTGACTGGCATCTAATTTCTTCTTGCAAGAACACCCTGTATAAAACATTTAGGTCATGAGAATAAGGGAAATGATCAGCAACTAAAGAAGTTCTTGATTGTTAAACACATTCTCCTTTTCAGAACCTTAAGAAAGTATGGAGAAAGTATGGAGAATATACATACTGATTCTGGGGTGTAAAGGGTTAATAACAAATCAAACAATAACTTAAGGCTTCCACAAAATTAAGGGCGCATGCGCAAAGGTACTATCACAGTTGAATATCAGTTGACAATTGCCCATAGTTACAAACTTCTTCCTTATATTAAAATTTAGATACCAAGGAGCTATTATTAATACTTTTAGTCAATAGAAATCTGGCAATGTCTTACAGGAACTTTAAATCTTGATAGACTGAAGACTGTGCAAAGTGTGACAACAATCAGCTTTTTTGTAAACGATTTATGCGCGTTAGACAAAGAGAGATCCATAAGAATGCGTATTTTTGTTTCACAGTGATTACAAACAAGAAGCGTGACAATTGTTGATTTTTTAAAAATCCTTCACAGATTGTCGAGTGAATACACAGTAATTTGAGAGTAAGTGGTGAAAATAAAGTCTGTGACATTTGAAGGTGGTGTGTTTTGTTGTTGACGCATTCCCACCTTAAACAAAAAAATCTTTACACAATTAATTGGCTTTGACTTGCCTCAATGATTTCAGCAATAATCTTGAATTGATTTGGCAGTTTAGTAACATGTCTGGTAAAACCACCTATGTCGGCCAAACATAAGGGGTTTTGTTAATCAGAATCCTCATGTATGTGCAGCCTCCTTATCAACTATTTTTGGGAATTCACGCCATTCTCTCACCTTGGAACTTAGAGAGTTGCGTTGCGTGACATCCTGAGGACCAGAAGCAAAGTCGTGTGGTCCGCTAGCTTTTTTTAATTCGAAAAATACATGTACAGGTTTGCAAGAGCTCATTCAATCGAAACCACCTCTAGATTAGACCAGTCCTTAATTACTTGTATAGTAGTCTTTAAAACCGATTTACGCTGGTAAGTTGAATAATGGAATAAATAAACTAACACTTGTCTGTGAATAAAGAGAAAGGAATCCTTTGGCTCGTTGTAAAGCTAAACAAACCACTGACTAGACCAAACGAATTAAGTGTACTTCTCACGGCAAAAGTGTAACCCGCACCGCAGAGCGCGGGAAAGCAGAGGTCGGAGAACCGCTTGGTTGCTCCTGATTGGTTAGAGTCACCCGAATCTGTACTCTGATTCGCTAAAAGAAATAGCACTATTAAGAAAGATCAGAAAAGCAAAACCAATGTAAACACATCATTACTTTCGAGACAATTAGGTAATGTAAGAACTCGAAACCATAGCAAGGAAAATACATGTACTTTATATTTCTCCTCACCTGTTCAACTTTCTCCAGATCCATTTGAAGACGGGTGTGCTCTAGAAAAAAAATTAAAATAAAAACGCAAGAAACAAACTATAACTAAAACCAAAGACTACCACGTTACAGTTCATATTTAGGCCTATAAATTAAGGAAGTTTCCTTGTGAGGATTTGACTTATTTCCACTGCGTGTAGCTCCTTCTTCCTTAAACTGTGAACTCTTAAATTTGATTTTCAAGGGCGGCAAACAGATACAAGACTACGATATTTCTTAGAAAAATGTATTTATACGTCCGTTACTCACATTGAGAAAGTTTAAAATGACAAATTGACGGCCATCAATCCTTGACGTCGAACGTGAAGAAGTGAACAACATCCTCGAAGAACACACTGACAGAATAGTGTTGCAAGCAATATCCAAGCTAATAGGGTTGAAATAACATGTTTCCTGGCCTAGGAGTCGTCGAGGAAGACTCGTAGTTCGTAAGCTCTTTCCACGTGCAAGAACTGAGCTAATAAATGAATGTTAATTTTAAAAAAAGATTTGTCATTCAAATGAGATTTCCGACATGATTGAAAACAATTTTTGGTCACTTCTGTTCAATTACTGCAAAACGGAACGGGATGACCAGCTGGTGCAAATACCTACTAGTATTCATAAGAACTCAGAAATATATTACGAAGAGCATTTTCAATAATTTTTCATCAGCTTTAATGAACATAGGCATGCATAGCATGCAAGAGTTAATTTTTTTGGCCAGGTGGGTTGAGGTGGGACAGTTTGTAAACTTAATGTTTTCATTTTTCTCACCGAAAAGAGAAGAAATTTTAAAAACGATAAAAATCGCAGAAAAAAGACGGAAAAATACCTAATTTCTCTGCTGTCCAAATACCTCTAAGTAAAATGAAATGCATCTGTGCCACAACGCCTTCTATTTCCCGTTTTGGAGAGAGCGCGTTGTGTGACGAGACCAAATAACGGTTGCGAAAAAGACTACGCTTCCTGCCGTTCCTCCAACAGAGAGAGAATATCAAAATTATTCGTCTACAACTTTTAACCACAAATTTTTCTACGAAAAGGAAATTAAAACTCTGTTGTTCCTCTGATGGACCCCAACGAAAGATTTATATATTGCGATCTCGAATAAGTGAAGATACATTGAACGAGCTAAGAGGATAATATTTGAAGGAGGGCTTTCGATTGATGGAATACGCCTCAAATAAAACTTAGTAGGCTGTTCGTAAAGATTTTTCTCGCCCGATCTCTTCTCGGAACGGATATCTGTGCGATTTTTTTGAATGAAGGCTGTTTTTATATAAATAATTCCAATTACAGTATCAGAGGGCCTAAAACTTCAGTTTTGCTTTTATTGTCATCTCACACTTTTGGCTGAGTTTTCGTTCTCAAAGAGTTGCATTCAGAGGTGAGAGAACTGAGAGACGATGCTCTTGTAGAGTTAAGTATGCGCATTTTTAAGGATATGCCCGGGCATTTGATTGAGCAGAAATGTTCAGTAATGATTCAATAGTTAACAGTTCTGAGTTTCACATTCTCCTCTTGTATAAGTTTTGGATACCCTCTTTGAATGTCTAGCTTTAATCCGGGGTTTATACGTTTAGAGGGAACTCACACAGTTCTTTTTTTGACCAAAGCACTTTGTGCGTTTAGAAGAGTTTTCAATTTTCATCAATCTCAAGTTTGTACAGTATTCTTTTGGAGAACTTCAGTTCACAGCCAGCAAATGTATGTTTATTGCTTCTGTTGGTTTTCTCTATGGATATGGTTGCTTTTATAATCCATTCATCCTCTGTAGGGTCTTAGCATTCAACTGTGAACTCATTTCCGTCCCCTTGAGTGACCTAAGCTACCCATGCAGTACATAAACTTTCCCTTCAGACACATCACACTTGCATATTTGCGGCATAAATACTGCCGCACATTTGTTAAGATATTTTACATCTCACATGATCTCCACACCCATTTATTTGACATGGTGGTCCAACTCAAACTGCATTTCAACGTTTATTTCGCCGAGAAATACGATTTTGACGAGTTTATGAACAACAGATGGAGATTCGTCCTCGAGAACTTCCCTTTCGTGGCAGCACTGGATGAATTCCTTAATTTGGAAGCCAAAGAAGTGGAGAAATGGCTTTCAAGAGACGATATTTCCGTTGAAACGGAAGCCGATGTTTTTAAGATCGTACTTGAGTGGATTAAACACAGCAAAAGCGAGCGAAAAGCATTGTTCGAACAGTTGTTTCGCTACGTTAGACTGGTTTTGATGTCGCGTGACTACTTGATAGATGTCGTGACAAATGAACTTGTGCGAGAGAGCTTTGCTTTTTTAATGTTGACCTGTTCGGGTTTAAAAATGTCTAGTTTCTCAAGTGAAAGAGGTGTACTCCAAACGCCGAGAAAAGGAGTCGAACTACACGGCATTGTAGCGTGTGGGGTGATATTATTTTCCCGAAAAGGACCAGTGGAAACGACTACCAGATGGGAGGTCGACAGGCCACACCCAAATGACAAGACTCCGGACTAAGTCGTCTAGATTTCTCAGAGTTAGCAGCGTAGAGAGGTATGATCCAGTTTTTAATGTGTAGTTTGAGTTGGAATTGCGTGAAAACTTTTTCAAGGTGGCTATAGTTAGAGGAGAAATATATTCACCTTAGCTAAACACTTCTAAGCAACAAACCACTGTCAAAATATACAATGTAGAGCGGTGCGCATGGGAGACACTTTTTTCAACCAATGAAGTTTGTAGAAAGCAAAACTGTGTCGTTTCTGCCAGCAGTTATCTTTATTTTTTGGGTGGAAAGCCGCCAGAAACTAGAGAATATGTTGCGAAAGCCGAGAGATATGACACTGTAGTTAAGAAATGGGAGGAAATCGCGGACATGCTAGAAGAAACAGGCGACGCTTTTGGTGAAGCCACCAAAGACAAAAATCTTCGTCGCTGGAGAAAGCATAGGGATAAAAACTCAGTGTTGCAAAATTGTGAGATTTACAATATCTCAACAAATGAACGGCAATCCTCAAGAAGCTTGATTGTTTCTCGCATGCGTGGTACGTAGCATTGTGTGTCTGAGCGAGAAGCTTTACGTGTTCGGTGGAGAACGAGAGGAAGACCATCGTGAACTGAAGCTTGGATGGTCTAACTCTGAGGTGGACAAATGGATCCGTAAAACAACCATACCTGGCAGCTTTAGCAGGTATGACGGAGAGCCGGTTTTTAATGGCTGTTTACTTAAACTCTCCCAAGGAGTACTGGACCATTCTTGAATCTGCATTAAGTCGCTGATGTGTTTTGATACCTGCATTGCATACCTCAAGGGTATCTGCTGTGTATGAGGATTAATTCATAATTTCAATTCAACATGCAGATTAGCTAATCCTTAAAACAGAAACATTTTCAGTTTGAAAATTTTTTCAGCATTCTTAACTGTACGTCATCTTCAATTCCGAGACGTTCGTTGTAAAATTTGAATTTTCTCTTAACAAATATGTCATGAAGTTATGAGAGAAGTTTTTGCTCCCCAAAATGCTATATATTATATGATATTACTGTTATTAATATATGATTATTATTATATGAAATTCAGTGGAAGCACAGAGGAGCAGTAGAAGTAATAGAGAAGGAACTTGGAACAGCAAAACAAAAAACACTGACAGTAATGTTAACAAAACATAGTTAAATGAAAATAAGCAAATCTAGGTTTAACTGTTGGATTAGTGTTAGATTCTTCCATCATACAAGGCCTCTTTTATTGTAATTTGAAAAATTGAGGTGGCAGATTCATTAAATTATTGTAATTATGAACCCTTTACACCTTAACATCAGTATGGATATTCTCCATACTGTTCCCTATACATTTCCTCACATGCTGACAAGGAGAATTTGTTGAACAATCAAGAGCTTATAATCTTGAGTCAGTGATCATTTCCTTTATTCTCATGACTTTGGTTTTTGATTTGGGTGTGATATTGTAAGGAGAAATTAGATGCTAATCACTCTTAGGCATCAAAGGGTTAACCTTGTAAAATTACTCCTAATGCATGTAAGAAAATAGTCATTTGTTGAAAGAATGACATTGAAGAACATTTGTCCGAAGTGAAAAACAGAGAAAAGTAAGTTGTGAGGGCCTGAGCCCCACCCAGTTATAATTTCACAATTAGATTACAATCTATTAGCTGAGCTACATAAAAGTTGTTGGTGACCCAGGCCACTGAATGTTAAATAAATATATGATGCAAAAAGTGTTCTGAGTGGGCATCCACACTTCAGGAATTTCTATTCCATTGTCCCTGTTGATGTTGTAAGGATGAAGTCTTGTGTGAATTGCCTCTTTGACCCTGCAAGTGTACTAGTCAGGATCATGATCAATAAACTTAATGTGTGGATATTATTGGGAGAAATTACATGTAAATCACTTTTGGGAGTTAACTCTTTAACTTCCAAGATCTCACTGATAATTCTCCTCCTGTCTGCCAACAATTCTCATTATGTTAGTTTGGAGAATTCATCTTCATAGAAGTTCTCACATGTGTCAAGATGACTGATGCTAGAGCAAAAATTTCCAAGAAACTGGCTACTTAAAAAAATAGAAACAAAAAATTAATATTAAAACAAAAAATAAAAACTTTTAGTTTTAAGAGAAAAATATGTATTAACTTATCAAGGATTTGGTATCTAGGAAAGAAAACAGCCCAAGAGTTGTTCTGTTGGCATAGCAACATTCTGCAGAGAAAATTCAATGTTTTTCCATCTTGCCTTGAGTTAATGGGAAAGTTCAGTCATTGTCCTACCTACCAGTAACCTTATCTATCTTTGACCAAGTACTGTCACAAATTGTTTCTTCAGTGCATTTTCTTGAGGTTATTTACTTTCATTTGAGTACAGTTTATGCACAGCTAACATCCTCGTTCTCATCCTCAACTGCATCATCAAGATAATCCAATACTCCTTTGGAGAACTTTAGCACACAGCCTTTAAATGCCTTTTTTTTCTTACAGTCCTTTACTGGTATGGTTGTCTTCACAATCCACTTGCCCTGTTTGTCATAACATTCAAGTTACCAGATCCAATGACACAAGAATCTTTCCTGTAGCATTGAGAAGAGGAGTGAAGCTTTTGCCATGAACATGTCTCTACCTGGAATTTTTTGATGGTTACTGTTTTTGTGTTAATTTTATCCTTCTTAATTCTTGCGACGGTTTCATGGATAGAAAATAACTCTCCTTTAATGACAGTCACTTTGTCCCAACCTATGCCGAAGCAGAAGGGGAATGATGACCAACCATTTAAGAAAGGATCATACCTCTCTGCTAGACCCAAGCTACAAAACTTGAATAACTGATCACGAAATCTTATTATATGGGTCGAAGGGATGCCGATACTCCGTTTTTTAGCTGAACAGCTGCATGTAGGTAACCTTTTCCACTCATCTTTCTGAGGGACATAACAAAAGGCATATTCTCCTTCACAAGCCACTATAGCACGTGTGTCAAGCCCTTTTCTCGGGGACTGGAGAAGGTCATCATCGCTTGAAAATGTAGTCTGTCTAATAGCATCTGAAACCAGCGTGAAACAACCAGCGTTGTCGCACACGAGTTCGTTTGTCGCGACATTCAACAAATAATCACGCGATACGAAAACCAGTCGAACGTGACGAAGCAGCTCTTCAAAGACTGCTTTCCGCTCGCTCTTGTTATGTTCAACCCACTTTTGCGCAATTTGGAAAACATCAGCTTCTGTTTCGACAACAATCTTATCACTTGAAATCCATCTCTCCACCTCTTTGGCTTCCAAACTTAGGAATTCATTCATGTCTGCTACAGACGCGAAGTTCGCGTGGATGAAACTCTTGCTTTCGTTTAAAAGCTCTTCACAATCGCATTTCTCGGCGAAGTAGAAGGTTGAAATGCAGTTTAACTCACACATTTGTTGTTGTATAAATCGACCAGAGATTGTTTTCAAATTTGGAACGAGGAGATAATTTGTAGCGATGACCAGCTCTTCGGCATTTTCTTCAGTAACCTCTACAGTTCCAGTATAGATGAATTCCAAAACATCTTCCATAACAGATCCCGAAATCTCCTCGAACCGAACGATCCCTTCCCGATTTTCTTTCATATCGCTCTGAAGAAGCTTGCGAAAGAACGGACTCGCTGCGGAAAGGATATTTCTGTGAGCCTTTAACTCTTGATCATCTTTCGTAATCAAAGTTATGTCGCATAAGTGGCCTTGTTTTCGTTGTATGTTGAGCCGTTTCATCATTTCTACGCAAAAAGGATTCTGTTCAGTGACACTGATAGCTGAAAGGTCTTCCATTGTCAAAGGATAGGCCTTGTTTTCGAGGTTTGTTAGTGGAGATTGTGGTGGTTAACAATATTGGAACGCGAATGTGGAAACTGACAAAAAAACTTTGTGGTACTCAGGCTGCTCCGGCCAGCTCTGAAGCGTAGGCTGCACCAGGCTTTCACAACATGATGTCGAGACCAAAATAATGATTATCGTTACTTCCTAATTGGCCCTAAAATAATGAATAGCATTATTTTTAGCATTATTGACTTATGTGAGACCTTCGGAACTCGAAACCTGGGTACAAGTATACAGGAAAGATAAAATGGGGTCTTACGGCGGCGAAGGAAATCTCAGTAGTTTAGTATTTAGCGTGAAAAGGCATGGGTGTTGTGATCTGCTTCTCAAGCCAACTGCTTACTGGGTTAAAATGGTCCAACCAGTTAGACTGATTTATCTGGTTAAAATGATGCAACCGTTGAGATGGTCCAGCCGGCCAGTTAAAATGATCCAACTGGTTAATATTCCGTCGACAGAAATGCAACGGAAACATGTCGTCATATTTCTGTTCAGGAATCATAACAGAAACATGACAGGTCCAAGGAAGAAGAGAGTAACGTGTTTTAGTTTCGCGGAAACAGAACGGAAACATATTTTCGTTTTTCCGAATTACAGAATCATGCTATTTCGTTCTGTGCCCGCTCTAACTCTATGCTATCCTAAACCTAACCCAAACCCTAAACCCAATCTTAATCTTGGTATTGTTTGTAAATTTCAGTAACTACTTGAAAGTTTGCTGAAAAACAAAAGATAGGTGGACTGGTTACACTTACAGGATAAATAGAGAAGGTTAGGATTAGGCTAGGATTTTCAAGTGTGCACACGCAGTTGTGTGGATGTTGTGGTACATGGAGTTTACTAGAGGGTAGGTTTGGCAGTATTTGCCAGTTTCCACATATTTATGAAATTATGGTTCCAAAGTGCGGGTCAATGCGAAAATGGATAAAATCAAATCAGTGTAAAAACAGTAAAGTCAAAGAGTTGTTGAGGTTCGTCAACATAGGGAGGGTCCTCTTGGTCTGGAGAAAAACCTCTGCCTACGGCTGAAGGCGTTAAATCAATAAATTGATATTGCTGGGCGGCATATCTAACAGGAACACTAACCTTCGCCTTTCTCACAGCTTTTTCCCCTTTAACAGCTTTGTTCATTCCAATTTTTTTTAATGTAAAAACTCGTTTTGGAGGCATAAAGATATCTAAAGCCGCGTTTCAAGATTTTATCGCGATCTTGTGAAAAACATGTAGCTTCAGCTATTTCTGAGGGTTTTGGCAGTTATTTAGACAAAAAGTGGGTAAAATCAGCTCAATTTGTAGTGTTTTTTGAGCGTTTTTGACAACTTTTGTGTAAGATTGAGCAAAAACTCGTGTGTTTCTGTCTGATTTTGGTGTTTTTAGACAGATTTCATTGCCGATTTTCCAAAATATATGTAGTTTCAATTCACAGCATTTTGGGCTTGAGACTGGCAAGAGTGATGGTAGACACTCTTGGTAGAGATAATTGTGCAAGTAGATATTAAGATTTCACCTCTAAAGACCATAAATCAATTAAAAACAAGAAAAAAAAACTTGATTTAAAAAAAATAGAATAATGGTGGGGAGCAAAGAGGGCTGTAGTAAAGATTATGTACTTGTTCTTGAAGCTGACAATTAATAAGGTTCCTATAAATTAAGTTTACACAACAAACTAACAATTTGTGAAAATCACACAAATCCCAAGCTATACCTAGGGTTTTGCTCTCAATAAAATAAACTGGGTTAAAATGGTCCAACACTCACTTTTTATATAGATAGGTATAAATAATGCTCCCCTGACTCTCCCCCGAATTTTCAGAACAGATGCAAACTCTTAAGAATCACAGAGGTTTTTTGGGTACTTTGACCTGTTTAACACCTAAAAAGAAGAGCACATACATGCTACACACAACCAACCCAGTCAAAATGTGCCTCAGCTAACAATTTGGCTGCCTACAATAAAATATCTGCTGCTTACTTCACACTTGTCAGACTTCTATTCAGGACAAGGTTTGGCCTTTGCTGCCTAGTGCTATCGCCAGCTTGCCTTCCACTCAAAAACATTTCGAGTGAGCTTACACATACATACTTACCTACATGTAGGATTAGGTTACATGTGCGAACCTGCCATATTGGAAGAGATCAATGAATTATAACTCAATGAAACATTGATAAATAAAATAGATAGATCGGATAGAAAGGACAAAAATTAAACTGACAGCAGACAGTACTGTTTTGGCCTTCTGGGCCTGATCAGTGCAGTGACCTTCGATTAAGTGCTTAACTTGGACATAAAACCAAAGCTTAGTGTAGTTAAATATTATTATTTTTCTTTTAATATTCCTATACCAGCTGATGTATATTATTGAATTACAAGTCTTATTAGCATGTTAAGATCACCTACGGGCAAGGCATACCCTTTGTATCTCTTTACTTGAGAAGCAGATCACAACACCCAAGCCTTTTCACGCTAAAATACTAAACTACTGAGATTTCCATCGCCGCCGTAAGCCGCCATTTTATCTTTCCTGTATACTTGTACCCAGGCTTCGAGTTCCGAAGGTCTCACACAAGCCATGAAATAATGCTTTTCATTATTTTAGGGCCAATTCGAAGTAACGATAATCATTAGTTTGGTCTCGAGATCATGTTGGGCTTTCAGGAGGTCACCTGGTAGTGACTGGTGCGGAGATTGGGGAGGGAGAGGTAGGTGGGAGGGGAAAGGACGGAATACGGACAGTCTGATTTGACAGCGGTAAGTACGGAAGAGAAATACGTGATGCAAATGTTTCCTAATTATTGGTGTCAGGAGGGTAATGGGCTCCTGTTGGTGTGTAGTGTTCTGAAATGAGGTTGGAGACAAGACTAAAATACGTATGGGAGGTGGAAGAAAAGGGTAAGACAGGTATATGATTCAAATTCCTCCGTTTCCTTTCATATATTCCGGAGAAAAATATGTTTTTCGGTAAAATACAGCCCCCCAGTGCCTAGGATATAAGGTGACAAAATTGAAAAAACAAATAAATATCAACCGTGAGAGCAAAGTCTTCTTCCAAATGAATATATATTTAGGGGAGTGTTTGTGAAGTGAGCTTCCACTTTACAGAATATCTTATCCAAGCCGTAGCCAGGACTTCTGGCTACGCCTTGGCCTTGATGAACAGCTCAGTTTCGATGTTCATATCGAGTCTTTATGTAAGAAGATTTCAAAGCGTATCGGCATACTTAACAGAATTAAGGCTTATTTACCAAGAACAGAGTTTATACTTTATGATAATTCTCTCATTAAGCCGCTGATATTATATTGCAGTGTAACATGGACAAGCTGCTGCAGTCACGATAATGTATATTTTTTCAAACTCGTCCAGTCTTTATTCGCTGTTTTCCTCAAAACTACCATAGCTAATATCTTGTCCCCAGATTTCCACGGTCAAGGGACACGGGAATTAGAATACCCGAAACTGGAAACCAGCTTCACTTCCGCTTTCGATATCTTTTTCGTGTGTTCCTCGTTATCAGCTACATTTGAGTGGATTTTGCTGAAGGAAACTAGGATATTGTGTAAATGATGGAAGATATACAGCCTATCTCAGCTGCTGAACAAGCGTCATTCTGTGTGGAACTGATGAAGCGCCTCAACATTCAGCGAAAACAAGATTATTTGTGCGACATTACTTTGGTGACGAACGACGACAGAGAGTTCAAAGCTCACAGAAATGTTCTTTCCGCCGCAACTCCATTCTTTTGCAAGCTTCTTGAGAGCGACATGAAGGAGAATCGAGAAGGGATTGTTCGGTTTGAGGAGATCTCAGGAACTGTTATGGAAGATGTTCTGGAATTCATCTACACTGGAACTGTGGAGGTGACTCAAGAAAATGCTAAGGAACTGATCGCCGCAGGGAATTATCTGATGATACCGAGCTTGAAAACTGTTTCAGGGCGATTTCTGGAGGCAGAAATGTCCAACTCCAACTGCATTTCAACGTTTTACTTTGCTGAGAAATACGATTGTGACGAGCTTATGAACAACAGCAGGAGATTCGTCCTCGAGAACTTCCGTTTTGTGGCAGCATTGGACGAATTCCTTAATTTGGAAGCCAAAGAAGTGGAGAAATGGCTTTCAAGTGACGATATTTCCGTTAAAACGGAAGCTGATGTTTTTAAGATCGTACTTGAGTGGATTGAACACAGCAAGAGCGAGCGAAAAGCATTTTTCGAACAGTTGTTTCGCTACGTCAGACTGGTTTTGATGTCGCGTGACTACTTAATAGATGTCGTGACGAATGAACTTGTTCAAGAGAGCTTTGCTTGTTTAAGGTTGACGTCTGCGGCTTTAAAAATGTCTGGTTTCTCAAGTGAAGGAGATGTACTCCAAACGCCGAGAAAAGGAGTCGAACTACAAAGCATTGTAGTGTGTGCGGGTTATGAAAATTTCTGTTATTTTCCCGAAAAGGACCAGTGGAAACGATTACCAGGTGGAAGGTCGACAGGCCACACACAGATGACAAGATACCGGGATAAGTTGTTTAGATTTCCTAGAGTTGGCAGGGTAGAGAGGTATGATCCAGTTTTTAATGTCTGGTCTGAGTTGGAATTGCGTGAAAACGTTTCCAGGGTGGCTATAGTTAAAGGAGAAATGTATGCACTCGAGCTTAACACTTCTGAGCAACAAACCATTGTCAAAATTTACAATGTAGAGCATTGCACATGGGAGACACTTCATTCATCCAGTGAAGCTTGTAGAGAGCAAACGTGTGTTGTTTCTTCCGGCACTCATCTTTATGTTTTTGGTGGAAAGCCGCCAGAAACTAGAGAATATGTCGCGAAAGCCGAGAGATTTGATACTGTGATTAAGAAATGGGAGGAAATCGCGGACATGCTCGAAGAAAGAGGCGACGCTTTTGGTGAAGCCACCAAAGACAAAATCTTCGTCGCTGGAGGAAAGCATAGGGAAGTGTTGTATCCTCCTAATGCATATACTATGCCTTGGATTCGTACAGATAAGATTTACACACTGATCGACCATGTGCTTCTTCTTTTATTCCCTACTTCATATATGAGTACATGAAGCCTGTCTGCGCTCAGTACGTCATGTAATACATGACATCCCTCCTTTTCTTGAAGAAAGAAAACAATAGTCCTTAAGACTTAATCAAAACAAAACATGCGAATCTGAAAATTGGACGGAGAGCTGGTAATAACTAATTCGCTTAATTTCAACACGAGATTCACCGGTTCTAAGCAGTCATTGTATCAAAACAACATTTAACATTTCGAATCAAAGTTCACTGTTTCAAACGAAGTTCAACATTTTAAAACAAAGTCTTTATATCTCCCAGGGAGTCTCCTCTGTCTCTGAGGTCTTCCACCTTTTGGTGTTGCTGGTGGGCTAGGTACTGTTGCTTGATCAACTGCTGCATTCTTACTAGCAGAGGTTGTACCAGATTTGCTTCCTGCACTTGCTTGTGCTAAAGGTGTGAGATGAGTTAGGGGTCTACTGGGAGGTGTTGTAGGCACTATTGGTGTAGATCCACTCATCACTTGATTTGGTACCACGGTAATTTCAGGTGTTGTCGGTACATCGACACTGACAGGTGGTTCTTCCGGATTGTCAGGGCTCACAAACTTCTTGACATGGGATGTATTCCTTGAATACTGCGTTCCACCTGGAGTTTCCACAACAACACTGTTACCGGTCTTGCTAACCACTTGGAATGGTACTGGATTAAATGGCGTGGAAAACTTGTCTCTTTTCTCTTGCCTCACCAGGACTTGATCACCAACTTGAACTTCTGATGGTTTTGCATTCATGGATTTATCAGCTATTACTTTGGTCTTTGCTTTCACTTCGGCATCTCTATCTCGAGTTTCCAGGTCCAAGTGATGGTCGGCATGTAGCTCTGGTAGCTTTCCTCTCATCTTTCTGTTAAACAATAATTCCGCAGGGCTCTTACCGGTTGTCGCGTGATCAATACCTCGGTATTTAGTCACATATTTTCTTAGCTCCTTCACCCAGTCTAATCCTTCGGCTTGGGCAATGCGGATCCTCTTCATCAGCGATGCATTTTGTCTCTCTACCTCCCCGTTGGCTTGAGGCCATTTTGGTGTGGTCTTGGTGTGAACAATTCCATTCTGCTTACAATATTCCCGGAATTCTTCGGAGCGGAATTGTGGACCATTGTCTGACTTTATGGTCAGAGGAAGGCCATGGCGGCTGAAAATCTCTTCCAGGTTGTCAATTACTTTCTCTGTGACGGTTGACATCATGATGGCGTACTCATAATAACGACTGTAGTAGTCCACAACAACAATGATTGAGTGTCCCGAAGGAAGTGGTCCTAGGAGGTCTATAGCTAGGTCTTGCCAAGGACCTTCTGGTAATGTCGTGGATCTCAATGGCTCAGGTGGGTCTGGGCGAGATACCAGTTGACATCCGTGACAGGACTTGCAGAATTTCTCTGCTGCCTTATCCATACGAGGCCACCACACCTTACTTCTTAAATTTTGCTTTGTTCCCACAATTCCTAGGTGTCCTTCATGGGCTAAGCTGATTGCCTGAGCTCTGAGTTTGTTTGGTAACACAATACGGGTACCTCTCAAGACTAGCTGTCCAATCACACACAGTTCTCCTGCGGCTGGTGCATAGTTTTTGCACTTCTCAAATCTGCCAGTTTTGATTGCTTCTCTCAGGACTTTTAATTCTTCATCTGTTGCAGATGCTTCTTCGACTTCTCTCGTGGTTAATGCTTGGGGAGTGGCACTGATAGCTGCGAATCGGATGTACTCTTCTGCCCCATGTGGATGACTCGTCACTTTGTCTTGCTTAAGCAGGCGGGAAAGAGGATCAGCTATATTATTCTGCCCTGGAGTATATACAATTCGGAAGTCGTAGGGTTGTAACCGTATTGTCCACCGTTCGATGCGGGCACAGGGCTTGGAACGTGGCCCGTAGATGACCTCCAACGGTTTGTGGTCAGTTACCAGATCAAATTTCATGCCATAAATGTATGCATGATACCTCTCACATGCCCAAACGAGAGCGAGGGCTTCCTTTTCGGTCTGGGAGTACTTGCGCTCACACTCTGTCAAGCTGCGGCTTGCATAGCAAATTGGCACCCATGCTTCATTTTGGTTCTGTAGTAACACAGCTCCGAGGCCGACTGGACTGGCATCAGCTATTACTTTGGTTGCTGCGCCTTTGTTAAAATATGCAAGTGTTCCTGCGTCAGCCATGCTCTGTTTCAGAATCTTAAAAGCGGTTTTCTGCTCAGGTCCAAAGTGGAATGGAACAGCCTTTCTGGTCAAGCTCCTTAGTGGCTCAGTGATAGTAGCGAAGTGAGGAATAAACCTGCTGCTATAATTGGCCAATCCCAGGAAGCTTCTTACTTCGCTGACGGTGGCAGGTTCCCTTGTTTCTTGCAAGGCTCTGATTCTTTCTTCTGTTGGACCAATCCCTTTTTCAGAGAGAAGAATTCCCATGAAAATCACTCTGTCCACATTGAATAGGCATTTGTCAGCATTGAGAGTTAAGCCATGCTGCTTGAGGCGTTCCATTGTCTTATATAGGCGTTGGTCATGAGTTGCCTGATCCGGGCCATGTACTATGATGTCGTCAGATATATTATCGACTCCTTCTATTCCAGCTAAAGCTGTGGATATCTCATGTTGGTACTGCTCACTCGCTGAACACACGCCAAATAATAGACGTTTGTACCTGTACAAGCCTTTGTGCGTCACAAAGGTGGTGATCTGTCGTGACTCTGAATTAAGTTCCAATTGGTGGTATCCCCACTTTAAGTCTAACTTGCTAAAGACTTTGGAACCATTCATATTGTGTAGCAGTTCATCTACAGTTGGTATTGGGTATCTGCCACGTACTATGGCCTTGTTCGCTTGTCTCATATCGATGCAGAGTCGTATGTCACCATCTGCCTTTGGTATGATCACTACTGGATTTACCCATGGTGTAGGCCCGTCTACTTCCTCTATAATATCACAATTCAACAACTCTTGAACCTTCTTTTCTACCTTCTCTTGCAGATTGAAAGGAATTCGCCTCAGGGGTTGGGCTACTGGTTTCACTGTTTCGTCTATGTGCAATGTTACTTGCTTGGACTTCAACTTTCCTATCCCATCCTCGTCGCCAATGTTGTATCCTCCTAATGCATATACTATGCCTTGGATTCGTACAGATAAGATTTACACACTGATCGACCATGTGCTTCCTCTTTTATTCCCTACTTCATATATGAGTACATGAAGCCTGTCTGCGCTCAGTACGTCATGTAATACATGACAGGAAGGAAACTCAGTGTTGCAAACTTGTGAGATTTACAATATCTTAACAAATGAATGGCAACTCACTGGAAGCTTGAATGTTTCTCGCATGCGTGGTAGCATGATGTGTCTGAACGGGAAGCTTTACGTGTTAGGTGGAGAAAGAGAGGAAAACTATCGTGAACTGAAGGTTGAGTGCTTTAATTCTGAAGAGGGAAAATGGATCCATAAAACAACGATACCTAGCAGCTCTAGCAGGTATAACGATGAGAGGATTTTTAATGGCTGTGTACTTAAACTCTCCAAAGGAGTACTGGACAAACTTAAAGAAATATAATCCTACATGTCATTCTTGGACCTGCATATACCTCATGGGTAAGAGCTATATCTGAGGATTGATTTGCAATTTTAGTTCAACAGATTAACTAATCCTTATAACAGAAACATTTGTAGTTTGAAAAATTTTTCAGCATTCTTAAGATGCAATATAATATTTGTTGTACAATTTGAATTTTCTCTTAGCCCTTTAACTCCCATGAGTCATCAAGACAGAATTTCTCCTCACATTATCAATACAAGATCAGCCAGATAAGTGATGTGAATAAAGAAAAATATCAATTTGGGGATAAGTAATTGATCCAATACTAAATTCTCTGAACTAACATTATAAGAGTTGTACAGTTGACAGTGAGGAGAATGACAAATTTGATCTGGGAGTTAAAGGATTGGCAAACATGTCATATGAAGTTACGACAGAAGTTTTTGTCTCCCAAAATGCTATATATTATATGATATTATTGTTATTATATGATTATTATTATATGAAATTGAATGGAAGCAAGGAGGAGTGGTAGAGGTAATAGAGGGGGAGCTGGGAACAACAAAATAAAAACCACTAACAATGATAATAACAAAAAATAATTAAATAGAAATAAGCAAATCTAGGTGTTTTTAATTGTTGTATTAGTGTTAGATTCTCCCATTATACAAGGCTTCTTTTATCTTTATTTGAATAACTGAGGTGGCAGACTCATCAAATTATCATAATTTAAAGTCTTTACATCCTAACATCAGTATGCATATTCTCCATACTGTTCTCTGTACATTTCCTAAGATGCTGACAAGGAGAATTTGTTTAACAACCAAGAGCTTATAGTCTTTAGTCAGTGATCATTTCCTTTATTCTCATGACCTTGGTGTTTGACTCAGGGGTGACATTGTAAGGAGAAATTAGATGCCAGTCACTCTTGGGGATCAAAGGGTTAACTTTGTAAAATTACTCCTAATGCATGTAAGAAAATTGTCATTTATCAAAAGAATGACATTAAAAAACATTTGTCCTAAGCACAAAACAGAGGAAAGCTAGTTGTGAGGGTTTGAGCCCCACCCAGTTATAATTTCTCAGTCAGATTATACTCTATCCACTGGGCTACATAAAAGTTGTTGGTGACCCAGGTCACTGAATTTGAAGTAAATATATGACAAGAAAAGTGTTGTGCTTTGACTGCTTGGATTATAAGATAAAATGTACAGTGAAAGCTCTCTCCATAAACACTCCCCTAAAAAATGCAGTAAACATGTATGAAATAAAAGCTTTTACAGGCTTTCAAATACAAGTGCATGTATATTTTATACTGAAATGCTACCAGTCCAAATATACAGCAAACTCATGGTATAACCAATCCCATAGCATATTTGAGCCTTGCTGTTATGCCATGTGTCTTTACTTCTGAAATTTTTTGTGGGGTTGGGAGGAAGCAGGGCAAATCAAATGATCATTTGTTAGAGGATTGGACTATTTATTGGGTTCATGAGTGACAGGCATCCTGTATTTTATGCTGTATTCAGCAATGCCTGAAGTGTATTTTTATTTTAATGATGTTTCTATAACAAGCTTAATTCAAGTGGGCTTGCTTAATCCTTAAACTCCTAAGATCTGATTGCTCATTCTCTCCTCTAGCTGCTACAAATTTCCTTGTATATTGGTTATGAGAATTTGGTGTTAGATCAAAAGAACAACTTCAACCTGATAGTTTAATTATTCCCATTGCCAATTTGCTGAATAATGTGTGGATATTGCAGGGAGAATTTACATGTTAATCACTTCTGAGCTGGTTAGATGAGATTCTAATCCTGATCAAATAAACTGCCCTTTTTGGACTAAAAGATTGTGCTTGAGTAAAACATGCATATAGTGAGCACTATTTCTATTATTCATAATTAGCATTTTAAACTACAAACTTCAGTTTCTCTCTCTGGAAGTTCTCAGATGTGTCAAGATGAGTGATGCTAGTGCAAAAAAACTGGCTACTTAACAAACAGAAACAAAAAATTAACATCAAAACAAAAATAAAAACATTTAGTTTTAGGACAGAAAAATATGTATTAACTTATCAAGGATTCTGTATCTAAGAGGAAATAGGCCAAGAGTTGTTCTCTCGGCATAGCAACATACAGAAAATTCCACGTTTTACTCTCTTGACTTGGGTTGATGGGAAAGTTCAGTCATTGTCCTATCTACTGGTAACCTTATCTATCTTTGATCCAGTGGATTCTATTACTGTCGCAAATTGTTTCTTCAGAGCATTTTCTTGAGGATTTTTTCTTTCATTTGGGTACAGTTTGTGCACAGTTAATAATCCTCTGCATTTGGATCTCTAAGATGATCCAATACTCCTTTGGAGAACTTAAGCACACAGCCTTTGAATGCCTGTTTTTTCTTACAGTCCTTTATTGGTATGACTGTCTTCACAATCCACTTGCCCTGTTTGTCATAACATTCAACTGAATGTTCTGGGTTTTTCTTACTTTGGTCAAAGCCACCCAGCACATACAATGTTCCACCAAGACAAACCATACTACCATGTGTACGGTAAACGTTTAAGTTTGCAATTAACTGCCATTCATTTGTGGAAACATTGTACACCTCACATGTTTTCAACACTGTGCCTTTTTCATCTGCTCCTCCAGCAACAAAAATCTTTTCCTGACTGGCCACACCAAAAGCCCCACCCCTTGCTTGTTGCATGTCTGTGATTTCTTCCCATTTCTTTTCCATAATGTCAAATCTGTCAGCTTTTGGGAGGTATTTGGAGGTAGGTGGGGACTTCCCTCCCAAAAGATACAGATAGTCAGCAGACCCAATGACACAAGACTCTTTCCTACAGCTCTCAAAAGAGGTGAAAATTGTCTGCCATGAATTTTTCTCTACACTGAATTTTTTTATGCATGTTTGCTCATCTTCTGTGTAATGATACCTCTGCCTGACAGAATACAGCTCTCCCCTAACAGTAGTCAAGTAGTCAAAAAATCGTAGGTTGAGGTGCAACAATGACCAACCATTAAACACAGGATCATACCGCTGCACTTGACCCCACTCCTGAAACATATACAACTGATCTCGAAATCTAATCATTGGGATTTCATGATCTCTCTCCCATAACAGTTCAGGTAAACATTTCCACTCATCTTTATCAGGGATGTAGCAGCAGGCATATTTACCTGCACAAGCCACTATAGCTCGTGTCTCAAGTCCTTTTCTCGGTGACTGGGGAAGGTTAACATCGCTTGAAAACGTAGTCAGTTTTATGGCATTTGAAACCAGCCTCAAACAATCAGCGTTGTCACGCACGAGTTCGTTCGTCACGACATTCAACAAATAGTCACGCGATACGAAAACTAGTCGCACGTGACGAAGGAGCTCTTCAAAGGCTGCTTTCCGCTCGCTCTTGTTATGTTCAACCCACTTTTGCGCAATCTGGAACACATCGGCTTCCGTTTCAATGACAATCTCATCACTTGAAATCCATCTCTCCACTTCTTTGGCTTCCAAACTTAGGAATTCATTCATGTCTGCTACAGACGCGAAGTTCGCGTGGATGAAACTCTTGCTTTCGTTTAAAAGCTCTTCACAATCGTATTTCTCGGCGAAGTAGAAGGTTGAAATGCAGTTTAACTCGCACATTTGTTGATGTATAAATCGACCACAGATTGTTTTCAAATTTGGAACGAAGAGATAATTTGTGGCGACGACCAGCTCTTCGGCATTTTCTTCAGTAACCTCTACAGTTCCAGTATAGATGAATTCCAAAACATCTTCCATAACAGATCCCGAAATCTCCTCGAACCGAACGATCCCTTCCCGATTTTCTTTCATATCGCTCTGAAAAAGCTTGCAAAAGAACGGACTTGCTGCGGAAAGGATATTTCTGTGAGCCTTTAACTCTTGATCATCTTTCGTAATCAAAGTTATGTCGCATAAGTGGCCTTGTTTTCGTTGTATGTTGAGCCGTTTCATCATTTCTACACAAAAAGGATTCTGTTCAGTGACACTGATAGCTGGAAGGTCTTCCATTGTCAAAGGATAGGCCTTGTTTTCGAGGTTTGTAAGCGGAGATTGTGGTGATTAACAATGTCGGAACGCGAATGCGGAAATTAAAAAAATAACTTTGTGGTACTCAGGCTGCCCCGGTCAGCTAAGAAGAATCAGAAGCGATAGGCTGCACCAGGCTTTCAGGAGGTCACCTGGTGGTGACAGGTGCGGAGATTGGGGAGGGAGAGGTATTAGAGATGGGAGGGGAAAGGACGGAAAACGGACAGTCTGATTTAACAGCTGTAAGTACGGAAGAGAAATGCGTAATGCAAATATTTCCTAATTATTGGTGTCAGGAGGGTAATGGCTCTTGTTGGTGTGTAGTGTTCTGAAATGAGGCTGGAGACAAGACTAAAATACGTATAGGAGGTGGAAGAAAAGGGTAAGACGGGTATATGATTCCAATTCCTCCGTTTCCTTCCATATATTCCGGAGAGAAATATGTTTTTCGTTAAAATACAGTCCCCCTCGGTGTCTAAGATATAAGGTGACAAAATTGAAAAAAAATATCAATATCAACCGTGAGAGCAAAGTCTTCTTCCAAATGAATATATATTTAGGGGAATGTTTGTGAAGTGAGCTTTCACTGTACATAATATCTTATCCAAGCCGTAGCCAGGACTTCTGGCTACGCCTTGACCTTGATGAACAGCTCAGTTTCGATGTTCATATCGACTCTTTATGTAAGAAGATTTCAAAACGTATCGGCATACTTAACAGAATTAAGGCTTACTTACCAAGAACAGAGCGTATACTTTATAATAATTCTTTCATTAAGCCACTGATATTATATTGCAGTGTAACATGGACAAGCTGCTGCAGTCATGATAATATAAATAAGATATTTAAGCTGCAGAAACGCTGTGTTCGAATCATCCTTGACGCCCAACAACGCCATGGCACTGTGGATCTATTTAATATTTTAGGGTGGGTGCCATATAACATCGAGTCTGACATCAAAAGATGCTTAATGTCCTACAAGAGGATTATGGGTACTTGCCCTGCCTATATAAACGAACAGTTAGAACTAAACAACAGCCAGCACAGCAGAAATACACGAGGTGCTAACTTAACCATTTTACCAAGGAGATACATTAGAGAGAAAGAGGGAGGTCGCTCCTTTTCTGCAACAACCTCAAGATGTTGGAATCACCTCCCCCCTTAAGCAACGCGCTTCTCAATCTGCAAATACTTTGAAGAATGCTCTGTATAAACATTTTAAATCAAGTCAGCTTAGGGATAAGATTTTTGACTCCTTTTTTAGATAATTTATTTTCAGATCGCATGATACGAGCAATTTGTTTTACCTTTAACTTTTAGATCTTGGTTTGTTGTACATTATGATTTTTAATTAGGTTTTAATTAAATTCTTAATTAGGTCATTAATTATAGTAGGTTTTATTAAAAGTTGTAACAATGTTTAAAGAGGGCCACAAGTTCATAAGTTTTTAACTATTAAGTGTCACCCTATTTAAATAAAGTTTGATTGATTGATTGATTGATTGATCTATCAACAAGTATGCAATGAAGGGCTAATGCTTGAAATGTCAGCTTTAAAAACCGATCTTTACTGTGGCCAATTTACATTATCAACTCCATTAATAAAACCAAAATATCTTGAAACACCCCCCACTGACGCAGCACCACAGCTTCTTTAGAAACTTACCCACTTTACTCATTCGCCTGAGATACTTTTTCCCATCAAGCCTTTTCAATCAGAGGATTTAAGAATGAAGCTGGTCATGTTAATGCTGATTAGTCTCTGTTTCCATCTCCTTTTTTTATAGCCGGTTTCAATGTATGTTTAGTTAAAAAGGGGGCATCAAATCAGCTCCAAGCAAGACTTTGGTGACAGTCTGTCCTGGTTTTAAGACAATGTAAACTCTCTTTTTTAATTCCTCTGACGGACCGTCAAACAACAACATGATCTGAAACGATTTTTGATTATCGGTGATTGTCCATGTCAAGGGGCGATGTGAACGTCAGTTGTGGAGATTATGATCCCCGTGGCCTATCTTTCACAGGTCACTGTGAAAGGATAATTTATGTGGAACTGATGGAGAGAAGATGGAATAAGGAAAGAACAAATTAGAAAAAAAGAACCAAAATCTTTAAGGGGGGAAATAGAGAGAAAAGACGGAGACGCGGTCCAGGCTCTCTCAAATCTATTCGGTTAGGCCTTAATTAATTAGGAAACTATAGCAAAATCAATGAACAAAAAAAGAAAAAAACTTGAAAACACTTTTATTATTCTTAAACACAAAAATTCGAATGAAAAAACAGAAAAAGAAGAGAACACTTGACGCTTAAAAGTCAGAGTTGACCTTTCAAATACACTTCACTAATGTACTATGATAATGACAATCTAATAAATTACTAAAATGCTGAGGAAATATTGGAAATTGCAATCTTAACATGAACAAGCCGTAATAATTTTGGCCTCCTGAACAGATTTGACTGACTGTACAGGTATGATCAGTTTGAGCATTAGTTTACTTTTCAAAAGAAAGAATAATTCCCTGGCAAGCGAAGATGTAAAAAACTTTTGAATACAGCTAACCAGAATGAAGTGTCTTGCAGTGGAGTAGAATTTCGATCTGTAATTCTTGTACTCTTCCGAGCAGGCAAAATTTTTGGTTGACCTTTACCTGTATCTTTTTACATAACACTTTTTTGCAAATATGTCCGTGTTTTTCTCAAAACCACCATAGCCAATATCTCGTCCCCAGAGTTCCACGGCCAAAGGAAACGGGAATTAGAATGCCCGAAACTGGAAACCAGCTTTACTTCCGTTTTCGATATCTTTTTCGTGTGTTCCTCGTTATTAGCTGCATTTGAGTGGATTCTGCTCAAGGAAACTAGGATATTCTGTAAATGATGGAAGATATCCAGCCTATCGCAGCTGCTGAAAAAGCGTCATTCTGTGTGGAACTGATGAAACGCCTCAACATTCAGCGAAAACAAATTTGTTTGTGCGACATTACTTTGGTGACGAAAGACGACAGAGAGTTCAAAGCTCACAGAAATGTTCTTTCCGCCGCAAGTCCGTTCTTTTGCAAGCTTCTTCAGAGCGACATGAAGGAGAATCGAGAAGGAATTATTCGACTTGAGGAGATCTCAGGAACTATTATGGAAGATGTTTTGGAATTCATCTACACTGGAACTGTGGAGGTGACTCAAGAGAATGCCGAGGACCTGATCGCCGCAGGAAATTATCTGATCATACCGAGCTTGAAAACTATTTCAGGGCGGTTTTTGGAACGAGAAATGTCCAACTCAAACTGCATTTCAACCTTTTACTTCGCTGAGAAATATGAGTGTGACGAGCTTGTCACTAACAGTAGATGTTTTATTCACGAAAACATCGTTACCGTGGCAAAACTGGATGAATTTTTGCACTTGGAAGCTAAAGAGATCGAGAAGTGGATTTCGTCCGACGAAATTACTGTCAAAGAGGAAGCTGATGTTTTTAAAATCATCTTAGACTGGATAAACCACAGAAAGAGTGAGCGAAAAGCAGCATTAGAAGAATTGTTTGGTCACGTTCGACTGGGTTTTCTGTCGCGTGACTGTCTGGAGGATGTCGCCACAAACGAACTGGTGCGTGAGAATTTCGCTTGTGTGAAGCTGGTCATGGATGCAACCATACAGATGGCTACCTTGGTTAATGAAGACGATTTTCTGCAATCACCAAGAAGATGTCTTGATAAACGTGTCATTGTTGCTCGTGGTGGCAAGTACACTTTTTGTTATCTCCCTAAAGGAGGCCTGTGGAAGCGCTTGCCAGATGGCCTGAAGGACACAAACAGTTTAAAATTGATAAAATTTCGTGACCAGTTGTTGACATCCACCAATTGTCAAATTTCAGAGAGATATGATTCTATTTTTAACGTTTGGTCTGAGCTGAACTTGAGCACAGATTCTGCAAAGTTGGCCGTTCTTAAAGGAGAAATTTACGCTGTTGAAGTTGAAATCTATGGCAGCCGGAAAACTGTCACGAAGAGGTACAATGTAAAGCAGTGTGCATGGGAGACAATTCACACATATCATGAACAGTGTAGACAGGATGCTTGTGTTATTGCAGCCGGCAGACATCTTTATTCGTTTGGTGGTAGGATTCCACGATCAAGTAACTACGTCGTCATAGCTGAGAGATTTGACACTGTGGAAAACAAGTGGGAGAGAATCGCAGATATGCTGGAAGGAAGAAGCGACGCTTTTGGCGTGGCCTCTCAAGGAAAAATCTTCGTTGCTGGAGGAAAAAACTCCACGGGAAGGTTAAAAGCTTGTGAGATGTACAATACGTTAACAAACGAATGGCAACTTATTGCAAACTTGAATGTCCCACGCTGTTATGGTAGTATGGTTTGTCTGAATGGAAAGCTGTACGTACTGGGTGGAGAAAATCAGTTCCGCGATAATCGGGAGCTAAGAGTTGAATGTTTTGACCCTGCAAACGACCAATGGATTCACGAAACAACCATACCAGTGACAAACATTGACCCAGAAAATAACAACTCATTCACGGGCTCTGTTCTGAAGCTTTCTAAAGAATTACTAGATAAACTTACGATTGTTGAGTAGTGTTTATCCGCCACTTTACAGCTTTAGAATTAGTCGTGTTTTTCACAGTAGACAGCAGGCACAGCCATTCGATTTTTATTGCCTAAAAATTGAACTGACAAGAGTGTCAGATATTGCAAATCGGAATGCCAGATCCCCAACAGACAAAGCTAAGCGAAGCCTCATCATTATCAGTAAAAGTTCCTGCTCAAGTTTTAGTTTCCTTTGGGGGCCAGGTTTACTGATATTTGGGGACTCATCCATGGTCATATCAGAGTACCTTTTGGGCTTCTCTGCCTCAATTTGCTTATCGCCTTTCCAGTAATTCATATTCTTGGCTATAGGAAGTAAGTATTCAAATAAGGTTCTGAAAGCATCTGTATTTTGCATGCCAGTATAGAGTCGAACATCAGCATCTCTGGTTATTTGTGCAGAGGCTGTACATAGTGTTAACCCCGGGGAATCGTCTCCACTTCTCAT